ACCGGGCGGCGCCGCCAAACATCCCTCGAGGAGACCACACGCTGGCAGATGACCCGCTACCTCAAGTGGGTGGACCAGAAGAAGGATGTGGAGAAATCAACCAGCGTGAAGAAGGGGTACATGAACACGAGCAGTGGGGGAACAGCCCTCGCCGCGTCGAAGAGCCCTCATTCTCCAGCTCCACCGACGGGACGTTCGTCAAGATCCCCATGGACACCGATCATCAGAACGGGAGGCGGACGAAATGGTGGAACAGATCGAGGCTCAGATCCACGAACTCCAACGTCAGAAGGCGATGGTCAGCAAGAGCTCATCCAAGAAGGACGACGAGCTGGCCAAGACTCGCAGGAAGGGACAGGAGACGGAGTCCGGCGAGTGAGAGAGAATCAGTCTCGAGCACATCTGACCTCTGAATATGAGGGAGCGATTCATGATTTGGGGGAACAACACAAGAAGGACATCTTGTTCGGCCTTTCTCATGGTTTTGAGGGTGACTGGTGTCAGGTTGCCTATGGGGATAGGTTGAGGTTGTTTTAGAAGTGCGCTGTGACCCCGAAAGTGAACTCTCCAACGCATGTAGCAGAGTGTTTGGCGACGGGAGCGCACGACGACTCTCCGCCTACAATGGAGGAGATGTAGAAACAAAGGCCGGCGCTCAGCATATCATTCGTGTGATGAAGGAGACTAGGCCTGGTCTTGTGTGGTTGTCACCAGAGTGCGGACCATATTCTCCCATGCAACACCTCAATATGAAAACTGAAAAAACAACACCAAGACCTTGCGGAAAAACGTGCACGCGCGCGTCAGCAGTACAAAGGGTGCTGCGAAATTGCTGAGGAAGCCTACAAAGAGAATATCCCCTTCATCATTGAACTCTCTGAACGATGTGAAGGATGGAGTGAAGCCCTATTTTCCATTTTGCATGACAGGGTTCCTTGTGTGTCAGGGGTCTGCAAAGGATGCCAAGTTGGACTCCGGAATGAACAACGGGAGCTCCTCGGGAAACGTTGGAAGTTGCTGGGGACGGCGAAGGGAATCATACACCACATGACCCTCAAATGTAGTGGAAATCATGTTCATGGAAAGTGTGAAGGACAAAAAGAGATGCCGTCAAACTGCCTTTTATACCCCCACCTTTTGTAACAGAGTTGTGACTGTCATGAAACGTGAAGACCTTTGTAAACATGTCACTCAGGAACTCAAGGATGGGGTGAACCTTTTTGGGGACATGAACATGCATGACCATGAAGGGGTTGAAGAAGCTTTTTCCATGTCGCCGGATCGGAAAACGTCGGTCGTCGAATCCATGCCGCTACGGGACATTGCAGTAGGGAATATTTAGTGAAAGCCCTCAAAAGGAGGAATGCGGACAAAGAAACCTTGGAACTTGCGAAACACTTCCGATGTTCGAGCTGCGAAGAACATGCCACCTCAAAACCAAGAGTTCAAGGTTCCCTGGAAGATATTCCCCCCAAATGGGCTCGTATCCAGGTGGGTGGGGGATCATGGTGCCATCCGGAAACCAAAGGGAACTTCCACTTTCTTTTGGGGATTGATGACGGAAGCCGGTTTAGAAGAGGAATGATTCTGAAACCCGGCAAGAAAATCAGCATGTCAGGTGAAGACTTGGTTACCTTTTTGGAAGAGTATTGGAAGCCTGTTTTTGGAAACCCCGCTTGTGTGCGAATGGACCCCGCTGGCCCTTTCAGGAGTGAGAACCTTGATCAATACCTTTTGAAACAAAAGATCCTCAATGAACAGATTCCTGCCGAAGCTCACTGGAAGATTCCCCACGTTGAACGAGCGATCCAAACCACGAAAAACATGATGTCGAAACTCGCGTCAGAGTGTCCGGAGATGTCGCGTCGTGAGGTGTTTTGTCGATCGCTTTGGGCGCAGAACTCTAGGGATCAGTACCTTGGGTTTTCCCCCTTGCAACATGTTCTTGGAAGAAACCCCTGTGAAGATGGTTGCATTCATGATAGGGGATGTGATGAGGTTCCGGTGATCACTGAAAGGGGGGTGACTGCGGAGTTTGGGGAAGACAACAAAGCCATGAAAATTGCTGAGGAAACAGACATTGAAAAACAACAAAAACAGGCTTTCCAGAGCTCAGGCCTCCGGCAGTAGGGTCCAAAACACTTTCAAACCCGGAGACCTCGTGTTCTATTGGAGGAAACAACTCGCGGGACACGGCCATGAGGTGAAAGGTCAAAAAGGGTGGTTTCATAGGTCCCGCTTGCGTGTTGGCCACCGAGACCAAATTGTCAGAAACCGGAGAGCGTTCCCCTGGACAAAATGTTTGGACTTTCTGTGGAACCAAGTTGCTCAAGGCCACCCCTCAGCTCTTAAGACACGCGAGTGAACGTGAAGAAGCATGGGCTGAACTGCAAGAGGACCAACCTCTTCAGTGGACGGTGACCAGCATCCTTGAACAGAGCAAAAACAAGACCTTTGAAGACCTGACCAAGATTGAGCCGCCACTGGATTGGGAAGAGGATGAAGATCCAGAGATCATCCCTGACCAACCAGGAGCACCACCACCTCCTCGCTTCAGGCATCGTCGTAAGGGACCAGAACCAGAACAGCCACCAGCAAAACATCATCGACGTGAAGTTCCCGACCAACCTATGACGGAAGGGGATGAAAACCTGATAGCATTAGCGTCAGAGACACCAGCAACATTCCTGGAAGATGAACATGGTAGCATTCAGATTGCCATCGACATGCCAGTCAAAACAAACAGGAAACAAAAACAGTGGCTTCGCGACCTGGCAGCATTTGCGATCAGTCAAAGCCGCAAGAACCATGTGGAGGTGTCTGAACGAAGACTATCTCCAGCCGAGTTAGAACAGTTCAGACAAGCAAAACAAAAGAAAGTGAAAAACTACATCCTTGCGGAGGTCTTCAAGAAGATCCCTGACCACATGAAGCCAGATGCCAACCAGATTTTGAAAATGCGCTGGATACTGACATGGAAATGCGACAAGGAGAGCCCCGACCAAAAGAAAGCAAAAGCACGCGCAGTCATACTGGGGTACCAAGACCCTTTGTATGAGACTCGCCCCACGGCGAGCCCTACGATGAATAAAAGTACAAGGCAATTGTTCTTGACTCTCTGCGCTGCTCACCACTTCCGACTCTTCATTGAACCTCTCAAGGAGATCACAGAAGGCATGAATCTTCCTGAAGGTTCTATCACAAGACTTGCAAAAGCCGCATACGGCTTGGTTCAAGCCCCACTAGAATTCTACTTATCAGTGGATGAATTTCTGGAACAACAAGGATTTATTCGACAAAAGGCGGACCCTTGCTGCTGGGGACTCTTTGACCAAAGTCAGAAGCCCATAGCATGGATCTGTTCGCACGTCGACGACTTCTTGTTTGGAGGCGCTGAGACCAATTTGCGCTGGCAACGTGTGAAAACAGCAATCACTACACGATTTAAATTTGGAGAGTGGGAGAAAGGGAAGTTTGTACAGTGTGGTGTGAACATTGAACAACGAGAAGACTTCTCTTTCAAGATTTCACAACCAGAATTCCTGGAGCAAGTGTCAGAGATTTACATACCAAAACAAAGGAGCACAGACCTTGAAGCTTCAGCCTCACCCGAAGAGCAGAAGCAAATGAGAAGCGTCCTTGGATGTTTAGCATGGCATGCTGGACAACTGGCAATGGAGCTCAGCGCCCCTACAGGCCTTCTTTTGTCAAAAGTGCCAAAGGCCCGAGTGACAGACCTGTTGGAAGCAAACAAGCTTCTAAAGAAGACCAAGGCCAGACAAGGCCAATGCATGATCATCCACACTTTGAACAAGGATGATCCCATGTTGACAACATGGGTAGATGCTGCTTATGGCAATAGACCAGATTTGAGCAGCATGAAAGGAGTACTGATTGGATGTACAGGTTCCAAAATCCTCCAAGGAGAACTTTCCCAAGTCAATCCCATATTCTGGTGCTCCTCGAAAATCTCGAGGATTTGCCGTTCGAGCGCATCAGCTGAAACACGTGCTGCTGTGGATGGGGAAGACCAAATGTATGCACTTCGATTCCAAATGGCTGAATTCCTTGGTCACCATGGGAATGAATGGTCCCCTGATGAAACCGTCAATAAGATTCCGGGAGCCCTCGTGAGTGACAGTCGTAACTTGTATGATCGTCTGTCTTCCACCGTCCTGACCTTAGGAGAAGCGGAAAAACGAAGTGATATTGAAACCCTTTGTTGGCCCTGAACTTCAACCAGGTTCACCTTCGATGGGTGAACGGAGAAAGCCAGTTGTCGAATAGCCTCACCAAAGACAATGTGTCACATCAGATTCACATGTTCAATGAACGAAGTGGTAGGTGGCGGATCGTTTACGATGAGTCCCTGTTTTCTGGTAGGAAGAGAAAACAAGAAGGAAAAGGACCTTTAGATTGAAAGTGGCACGAAAATTTTTAAATACTATGGACCCGTGCAGAATTTGCATTCATGGGTCACGAACTCACTCGTTTTCGGTGATCTCGTCTCGACTCAAGCGCCCCACCTAGCAAGGACAGAAACAATTCCTTCCGAGGGGTACTTGCGCCCGTGTGCTTCGCATATACATATTACTTAAATATAGTCTAGTGTCTATAATAATGTATGATATTGGTAAGCACCTATGACGTCCATGGTCAGTGCATGCGTGTACCTGTCCACAACTACACAATAGGTTCAACTGCAATATGTGAGAAGGTTTCCTAGGTGGGGCTGAGTCCGCCAAAGCGTTGAAGAGATTTCGGAGGGCAACAGCGCGCAACAACTCTTGTGAATTTTGCATGGCCTGGGTGGGAGACCTCGCATGACGCAGAATGATGCACAAAGAGCTGACAAAGAGCTTACATCTAGGAGTTCAATCATGTAGGAGGCCAACGCTAGTAAGTTGGAGGGCCTTGCTTCTAGGTTGGAGGCCATCGTTAGTAGGTTGGTCAAACATGTCCATCATCTCGCGCATCTGTTTTGTCTTGTCTTCCCGCACCTCCGCGCGAGGTCTTGGAGGGCCAACGCAAGCTTCTCCTCTATGGATTCTTGCATTTGCCTGCATGACTAGAGACCAGATCTATAAGTCTGTCACAAAGACGTCAAGCCCTCTTTCCAAGCGTCCTTGCCTACTCTCTTGCGCCCAAAGCGTCTTAAGGATGTTGCCGCAATTCCAGACCTTGGTGGAGCGATTAAGTTCACGAGGAGTTAGGAACAAGTTCCAATAAAGGCAACCAAACGTGAAACGGTGGGCTTGTGGCACAAACACGCAAGTCTACAGTGGTTCAAACAAAAACTTGCTCTTACAATATTTATATAGATGCCGCACGCCAACAAAACTGGATCATACACACAAGCGAGGGTGCACCTTGCTACGCTGCACCTTTGAGATCCCCGGCAATCCAAAAGAACAAAGGGAACGAGAAGCTGATGACAAAGCCGGACCACGAGGAGTTGAAGCGTGTCATAACCTGAGTCATCCGCGGAGTTGGGGCATCTCCAGATCCTAATAATCCCTACGCCAGCGACTCAAGGAATCCAGTGGGCTGGGTGCCCGTGCTCCGCCGAAGGTCAAGCCACACACAATCACCAGGCTTGTGATTGCTGTCGCTAATACTGCCTGAGCTACACGTCTCTGTGTGTGTGTGACGGCGACATGTCCTGAACAATCCCTTTCTCTGCAGAAAGCTGAATCATGCTGAGCCTCAACCTTCGAAGTACATATACAGCATCGTCAACGCGTCGTCAACGTGACGATAAAAACAAAACTCCGGGCAAAAGCAATAACGCAATGAATCAAACTAATTATGCAGTACACTCCTTGAATACAATCGTTTATTGTCTCAATTGTGTCGGCCTGATCAAATCCGGTGAAAAGAGTGCATGGCTTGTGCTTTCTTGCAACCTTCAAACCCAGCCAACTGCTCAGCTGCGTGTCCAGGCCCGGTGAAACCACACAGAATGGCCACACAACCAGACCTGGCGGCTCTATTTTGCTCAAGGCATCAAGAAAGAAGAGCAACGAGATTGTGGAATCTCCCATTCATGTGGTTTGTGATTAGATTGCCTGGACATCGATCTGTTTGTCCACCTACTGCCTTGATCCACCATCATCACAAATCGTGCAACAGTGAAGTACTCAAAACAATTGCTTCCAATTGTTTACTTACAAAGGAATAAGACTTTGATATTGGAAACCCATAGTTCTGAGTTCTGACTGTCTTTCTATAACGTCAGGGCAATCCATACTGATGGTGCTGGAAGCTCCTGGTTTTTCACACTATCTCTCTCTCTATATATATATATATATATATATGATCTATACATGCAGAAGTACATTTATGTGGAAGAATGCTTGGAGAGGCAATTCTGGCCTTCATGTCTTGGCTCTTATTTCCCAATCGTGTGCCAGAAAATGTTGTGATGAAAATGATGCTGCATAAAACATCACAAAACATCAAACGGACTGGAGGCCACAAATACTCGCAGTGGCACCAGCAAACCAAAGGATTTCAGGTTCAGCTGCGTCATGGAGTGGGCAATGGCTAGGTGCATGAGCCTGAGGCTGTCTTCGAGGACAACATGAGTGTGACTCAGTTGCGAGACCTACAAAGAGTCCAAAATGTGTTGTTACAAAAAGCAAGCAGAAGTCCACCCTAATGGTGAATTCTTTCCACTGCAGTGAGGAATCACCAAAGCATCAATCTTGAGGTAGAGCAGCAGCAAACAGCAGGCACCCAGTATTGTTGGATACCGTCAGTGAACAATGCAGCTAGTCTATTGAAAAGGATTTGAAGCGGTTAATCCCTCTTACCCTACAACAATCCCTCCCTGAAATGACCGAACCATCTAATGGGACCTCCAAGTGTGGAATGAAACTAATCAAGGTAGAGCGAACATACCAACGACTAAGAGACCAGACCCATTGGATCGACCTTCAAAGGGATTGCGCAGTCGACGCTTAAAACTGTCCGCTTAACTCCACCTGTTTGTTTCGTTTGGGCCGGCCCCCTAAAACAGCATCCAAAAGCCAGGAGTTCTGACTCTTCCTTCACACTATCAAGTGTTGTCACCTAAAGGCCCTCGGTAGGCAAATTTTCAGGTTTGCTAGCAAGACTTGGCCCCCGGCCACGCACTGAGGGATGGGGTGACAAATCTCACACAGGAAACCACCACCTGCAGCCCCAGTCGAATGCCCAAGAAGGTTAGGGGTTAAACAATGATATTACTACTAATAGCAGAAGCTACTAGTTACTAGTAACAAGGGCAAGCAACAAAGGCATTACTACTAGTAGCTAGAAACTAGTTTGATCAAATCTATGTTCTTCCGGGTCTAGTGAGTAGCTCTGGGTCCCTGTCGGCGTGAGCTCTGATTCCATTTCATGAGATTTAGAGGGATTCGTGACTTTACCTGTCAATTACTGGCATGAGAGGAGCCTGCAAAGAGCAGAAAGGCATAAATATCATAAATATAGGAGCAATCAATGATATGTGCATATATACAGCTAGGCTATATTTATGTACTGTACTATTTGCTAGCTGTTTTGTTCTAGGTTCTCTGGCTGACCAACTCACAGGCAGGTGTTACCAGACTCTAAGCAAGCCAAACATCATGATTCTCGCAAATCGTATTTGTGAGCATCCTCAGTTGTTGCTGAGGATAGCAGTTGACGGTCTGAAAAGAGACACACCAGAGTGGCCTGCTCATCAAAACCATGGCGGTCCACTGCACTGCAGTTCACAGGCCTACCACAGTAACCATGCAACATGTGAACTCCAAACAGTGTTGATTTAAACTTGCATGTCTATGACGATGTTTCTTTCCAGTGTGCTTGACAGTGCTTGACTCTTACACCCACAGTCAAGCTGCATGTAGCTGAGAGAAACAAACACCCTCGGGTCAGGGCTGATGATTTCGGCTGATGAAGGTCTGGATCTCCAGCTGGGTCGAGAAGCCTCAGAGGGTCACAACATGTCTTGGATTGGGCCGTAGATGGCCTGGTAAAGATGAATGTTGAACATACATTGACCACAAGAAACCAGGGGATCTTCATGCTGTACCATTTTTCAGGCAATACACAGGCAACCCTAGAAAGACACCCAAACCGATGGCTGCAAGAGTTCGGATAACGAGATATCCAGCCGCAAGAGCCACAACACTCTGGAGGGAACACAACGCTAAGCTTTGTTGAGTTTTGGCAAACTGAAGGGGACATCCCTTTGGTGTATTCTTAGATATGCATCATAGCTCTAACTGTACCAAGGTGAAATTGTCAGCCAGCTGTTCTCCCTTGCGAGACTCCAACTCTGTTGTGTGGGCAGTGTGTACACTATGGATACATACATACATACATACATACATACATACATACACACATACATACATACTAATGTATATGTGTATGTATATATACATTCACTTACGCGTGTATGATATGTCACTATCAATAACAATTCTGTCACCTGGTAGTCAACGCCTCCTTGTTTGGTACACCAACCCTTCCGCATCAACCGTTGACGACCCCTTGCTTTTGCTCACTGCGAGTTTTCCTCAGCTCAGAGATCCTTGAAATCGTTGTGGACGCTGCTGCAGTCTCCGCCATGCTTCTTGCTCCCACAAGTGATGTACCCCAAGAAATTGCTAGATATTAGGATGTTCAAGCTTGGTCAACTCCTTTCCAATGTCTTGTTGAAGTCTACCTGTTGTTCAACAAACATGAACGTCAGCTAAATTGGGACAATGAGAACAGTTGACTTAGGAATATGAGGTCCGCCCCAGGCAAGGAGTTGGCCATCGTTGCAGATCACAGCAAACGCACGCGTGGTGGCGCGCAGCTGGCCTACCTAGCGACTTGATGCTTTCGGTGAAAGGATTACCCATTATTATATATAACTTATGCAGTTTGTTCATGAACATGACTGCTTTTTTGACAAGATGAAATGAAGCTATTTGTCAACGGGCACACTTTGTTTTGGTGCTTGATCGCTTCGACTATCAATGCAGCCTGGTACTCTGTGTCCACTCCTCAAACTCAAGCTCTCTTCAGTCTATAGGACAACCAAGCTCGCATTTTTTGAATTCGCGTGGGAAAATCCGCCGCTGCTGCCTGGTCAGCCTGGTCGCGCAGCAAAGACAGCTCTTGACACAAATACTCCTGCCTGAGGTGAGCTGAAAAGTATGCTGTCACAACCTACAGTGAAGACTGTCGCAAAACCTGAAAGCGTATTTTCACATGGAAGAAAGCCTGTCACAACCTCTGCAAGGCCTTCTCACAGATTTCATATATGCATGGTAGAAGCTGGAGGGAATGGGAAGCGGTGTCGCTTGGCCGCCTCTAAAAGGACGAGTGAAGTGCACTGAGAAGATACGGTCATGAATGCGCCCTCGATCCTGTAGAGATGTGTAAAGCATGTATCACAAAACAAGGTTTTGGTGATCCTTTTAAACAAATTCCTGATCCTTGAGACTTGTGGGCGGTCACGCTCAAACATGATCACACAGTCACACAGTCCAAATCTGAGAGACAACATCGATCTAGTGGCATCGTACACACTCCAGCCATAGGATTGTCAACAGTGCGTCGCTGATGCGCTTTTCGCGGAATGCCACTTCTGCCGGTGCCAAGTCACTGACAGACCTGCGTCAACAAAGGAGCCTCGGTTTGGAGAAACTAAGGTCTTGTGTTCATAAGCAAGAGAGGGAGAGGCAATCGCTTGCCAACCACATGACATGTTGCTAGGTCTGACACACATTGCCCTCTGCGCGCCGAACTCCGCTCCTCATCCACTGTGCTCACACTGGCCCTGCGCTGTCTGTGACACTCCTCACCTCACTTACCCGACCTTGAAAGCCCAAACGCCGAGGAGCTCCTTGGCTCCAGGAATCTTCCTTCAGATGACACCAGCCTAAACAGTTGTTGTCCAAAATGCCTCAGCGTGACTCACTGGTCAAACTCACATCAGATTCCGTGAAGAATTTGGGGAAATCAAGTCTAGACAGATCTAGACAGTCTAGATGAAGATTGCTTGAGACGCTGAGGATTTGACCATATGAAACCGCAGGCCAAGGAAAGCAGCATGGGACCAACACCCCAAAGCCCTCTTGGCGCAATGGAAATGCCCTACTGGCGCAAAGAAATTCGATTGTTCATTTTACGCTGAACGCTTTCCTGCGGCTGGATACTGCTGCGACGCAATCTTCAAGTCACCCACACACGGGTTTGGCCTTGTCAAAAACAAGCAGGCGCAACGACCACTGGGTAAGTGGACCTTGATTTCCATGATAAGTGCCCTGGCGATGCCAAGGGTGCAGACCATGAAAGGGGCCAAGCAGTCGATCAGTGACTGGATGAATGTTGTCCTTCGTGAATGTCCATCCAGTGGTCGCCTGTCAATTGACTTTTTCTTGGTTTGAATGGAGGAGAACAGTGGCTTCCTGTCTTTTTCGATCAGACCATTAAACAAGCTCTCCTTCAAGCAGAACAAGTGACTGCAACAGGTTCCATAATCTAAGAGTAGGCTTTCTTTGGCTTACTGACTCGTTAGAGGTCATCGTGATTTAGAGGGAACCATGCCGTCGGCTTGCCGGACGAGATGCTGAATTCGCTGAAGTGTGATGTGTTAACTGCATTGACGGTTTTAAGCCTGTTGCACCTCAACGTGCCCGAACCACGCTCTTATGCTTCGGAGCCGACTTATTTTGCCATGCTCATGTGGAGCTAGCACCCCACGCCCGCTGGAGCGGGGGTGTTCTCCTGAGCCAACATGCCAGCGTCAAGGCATCACGATTGCATGGCTGGGTGATGAAGCATTGTACAGCAGTGGCACAAAGTGTTGTTCAAGGTCTTCAGTTGTTGGACTTGGCCAACAAGAGATTCAGAAATCCCAGCTGCACGTGCAGAATGTTGCAAACCAGCCGCAAAGTTGTGCCCGTGATCCGTGTTCAATTCGATCCCCAAAAACCAAAAGCGAACGCAGAACAGGAGAATGCGGCCTTCTCGTTTCATTCATAGACCTTAATGATATATAATTCTACCGAATCTTTGAGATTGGTAAACAATAACAAAGCTTCCAAGCCGGTTGGTGTCAATGAAACGCCTTCCCTGTCGCCACAACTCCCGTTTGAGCTCATGGGACAGTCCATCCCGCTATCACACTCCTCAGACGGGAAGTCGCGGCCCACCTGAGGTGCACAAGCGAGCAAACGGAGGAATTATATAACTTGGTATGATCAGGCCTTACTGAAGAAGGCCTTACCTTCCTCATGTCTATCTCTTTGTTCCTTCTCCGTTGGTGCGGTCAATTGTTGCCATGAGAGAAAATGTGGAGCCAAAGCGGAGTCTCAGAAGTCAATGAAATCTTGGAACGAAAAAGCAATGTTTAATTCACCAGCATCCTTCAGTCGTGGTACTTGGTAAATCACACCGTCACACCGTTGCACCTTGTGACATCGATGTCCCTGGGGTCCAGGCATGTGTAGTGGACTGAAAAACGCAGAACTCCCAAAGGTAGGAGAGAACCACCGCCAAGGTGACTCGCATGATCCTGAAGCCATTGTGCCCCATGGGGGAATGGTGAGCAAGGAAAGTTCCAGCTGCTGTGTGTCTTGAACTATGTTAGTGTTAGCTTCAAAGGTTTAGGGGAATCACTAACCGTCAATAACCAGTAAATCATTGCAGCAACATGCAGCAAGTATATCCGGGGCAAGACTACCGAAGCAGGAATTGGCTCCGCTGACGCAACAACGGTCATGAAGCGCCCCACAGAACAAACCCTGTACCGGTGTACAATTTCTTACGGTGAGCTGCCCTTCTTTAGTCTGGCAAACCAAGTCAACAGCCTCAACAGCTTCCTGCTTCAAAAGAAACATGACAAACCTTCGAGGTAGACTTCTGCTTTCTAGGGTCTGGAGAAAGGCTTGACCAAACATGCCAGTCTCACATCATTGCCTCCCATCTCAAGGCTTTGCCAATGGTCCTTAGAGGGTGGCAGACCGCCATAGCCCGGCAAGGCAAAACACTGGAACACGTGGAGCTGAGGTCCACCGACCGGTGACCCAGAATTCTGACATTGCTGGCAGCACCAACAGTGCGGTTGCTTTGAAAGGGAACTGAGCATTTGGTGGGCTGGGCAATTGTGGTTTCTGTATTTTGTTTCTCGCTGTGGTTGCCTGCGATCCACTCCTTGGCTCTTTTCATGTCTCGTTTTGTGCTGTCCCACAGTGGTCTGCCCTCCCTCGAACGGTTTCCATCTGGAAGAAAGTGTCTCTTGTGATCTGAAGACAATGCTTCTTCAATCGTCTTGGCTTCCCAACACCTCCTTTACTTCGATGTCAAAGAAGTAAAGCCGCTTCTCGCGGATTGCAAACCTCAATTCACCAGGTGCAAGTGCAGGGGCTTGGGTCCAGCATGGGTCGGTTTGTGTGTCAACTGATGTTCCATGTCCTCCGAACAAATATGTTTAAAACAAGCCTATATTAACCAAAACCGACCGACTGAAAGAGAAGCAGATTGAATCTCGGCAAGGGAGAAATGATGATTACAGTCTATATATATATATGATGTGCCAAGGATGCTTGAGTGACATCCCAGTGCTCTCATCAACAACGCCATGCAAGGGATTCTGCTCTCTGGATCTCTCTGGGTGTAATAAGCCGCTTGCACTCCTGGAAAAAGCACTGGCAGGAGGGCGAAACGCTTCATGACCACCTCCACAATTGCCATGCACACACCTTGGGGCTCCACTGCGTCCTACCATCCGCTTAGTTTTGGCTGGTGTTTCCCAAGGCATGTTCCAGAACACTAGAGATCTCGGAACTGCACTCGCGGTTTGAGCGTCCGGCTTCCGACAAGCTCCTGATATATTCCGGGAGACCCCTTTTTTGACACAGGGCAAGTCCTTGAATCTGATTCGTCTCCTAAATTGTTTCGAAGTTCCTCGTCGTGAAAGCCACCGCGTTTGTGTCTGAAGTCGAAGTCCTTTATATCAACAGGCCATATTTGGAGCTCATTTGCCGACACCTATCATTCCCAAATTGAAGCTGCAGGTGTCTGCATGGATTTGTTGAGGGCAAACTTCACCCGGAGAACCTTTGTTATCCACAACCTGACAGGATTGGGGTATATAACGGTATATAGCTAGGTGAAGATAGACAACCGACCCAATGGTGACCCTGCTGCAGCCCATCATCCCCCAGCACACTGACAAACACAACAGCCAACAACAAACCATCACACTGACAACGGGCGACACACAATGACAACGCCAAATAATTACCAGCACAAGCAACACGACAACAAACAAGAAGCACTGACACATTTCAACACACGATGGCAACACCAACAGCAGACAAGAAGCGACGACATGTATGACTGACAGCGATGACAGCATGAATCCTGAGCATAAACTACAGCGCATCCCGCCAGTGGCGCCTGGCTATCTCAATGCGAAGCAGTGAAGCAAGCCTACTCATCATACTGGATGCCCCGCTAATCCTCTATTATTTCATTACATTTATATGATATGTATTTGCGTATCCGAAGAGTGCGGTTCGGCAGAGTGACGAACCTCAAGGAGGGAAGAAGGTTGAAGGCGCCCTCCCCATGGAACACCGAACACGCTAGTGCCGCGAAGCTGTGTGACATCAAGGAGTCACACACCCAACAACACCTAGGGTTTCATGGTGGAATTCCGGTTTTCGGGTGCCAGAGGCAAACTGTGGACCGCCCCCGCCGAGATTGAAGCCCAGCCTCATTCCGAATCATAACACACAACACCTGACACAAAGACAAAGATTGCAACAAAGCAAACACGACACCCAACATAGACACTGTAATGGTGCATCCTAATTAGGATAATGGGACGGAATAACAAAAAGTGTTCGCCAAATTAATCACACACCCTGATTAGTTTAATGGGACGAAATAATAAGAAGTTCCTTTGCCCAGGGTGTTTTTTGGTTTATAGCTTCTTTTCTATTGTTCTGCTATTGCCCCCCTTTAACATCCACTTAGCTCTCCTGAGGTTTGCTTGATTCATGGAATTCTGACCTGGAAATCGGCTTCAAAAACACGTATTAAAACTCAACGATTTCATTGCTCCAAACAATTTTTCATGGGGGTAGCACACCAGCCCAGGGGAAGTTAATAATATCAATTGTTTAGGGGGTTGGATTAATAAGCAAACTTGGAGCCCTAAGGGATTTTTTTCATTATTGTTCTGCTAAGACTACTACTACTGCTACTACTACTACTATTACTACTACCACTACTACCACTACTACTACCACTACCACTACCACTACTACTACGACTACTACTACTACCACTACTACTACCATTACCACTACCACTACCACTACCACTACGACTAGTACTAGTAGTACTAGTACTACTACTACTACTACTACTACTACTACTACTACTACTACTACTACTACTACTACTACTTGTTTTTGTGGCGGTTATACTCTTCAGACCCCCTGGATTGTTTGCTAGGGGGGGCATTATACTATATAATTAAGATCTAACATTACTTGACCACACACACCAGGACAAACTCGACAGGAAACAACCTACTGAATCTGAGTAACTTCAAAATCAAACACAATGTCTTGTGTAAAGCACTTTGGCTGGTCCGTCAAATCCTAGCTTCCACCTCCCTCGTTGATCTCATAATGCAGCTTTGACTTGACCGAAGCCACAACAACACAAAACCGCTCCGGTCTATACCTGAGCGCCCAGACACATGACGAAGGCCAGCACAAACCTCAATGTTTGGTTGGTGGCCGCATGCATTCCAAACCTCCACTGTAGACACTACATTTACAGTACATACATAGCCGCTCGCCAATCTGTTTTGTCATGGTTGTGGAACTTAAAGGACATGTACAATGGATTTGAAAGATTCCTTTTTTCTCAGGGATGCTTGTACTTGCTCTATATGATATAATATACAGCATACCATATACAGTATACATAAATATGAACATACAGTATAGTTCTTCTCGGGAAACAAAACTAGCGAGTTTTCAGGCCGTAAAGTCGGCAGGATTGGGTGAAGTCTGCAGAGGGTGGCCCGTAAGTTTGTTTCACCAAATGATTTTGTCTTCGAAAAAAAAAAAAAAACGATCGTTGTTGTAAGCCCGCTCTCCCCTCCCTACTTACATAATTAAGTAGGTAAGGGGAGGTAGCTAGTAGCTTAAGTTGCTATTAGTAGGACGCAGGATAGCTCAAGCTCCCCCGCCTGAGGGCGGGAGAAGCTTCCTTGAAGAAGCGGTCGCACTATCTATTTGGTTCGATGTTTAGGGAAACTTAACATACCCTTTGACCATTCTCAGAGCGCCCCCACGTGAAAGGCTGCAGTGCTGGTGGAAATTTGAGAATTTTAAGGAATCGTATGACCCACCCCTTCAGTAACTTCAGTCCATACAGTCTGCAAGTAGTTAGTTTTCCAAGTCCGCAGTATTTCAAGTCATGTTGATTTTCCACATCTTGGCCCAGGCATTGAGACCATGAACCCATCTGCCGTCTCGCCAAGCAACATTATGGCCTGGTATTCTAGAGAACTGAACCTGTCACAAAGAGGCTGGACGTGCAATCTGGTATGATGTATATGATCATAATCATGGATCATATCATGTCATATCTCTATTAGGCACCCTCGAAGCCAATCAGTGCATTCCCAACGTGTTGATTGCACTATGGCACCTCGCACTAGCAGGAACAACCACTGGATTTAGCTACTAGCAACTCTGCCCACAGCTGAGTGCTTAAAAACACTGACAGTTCTTCTGAAGGGCATGGTGGCAGGCCCCTAGTGCTGGACAAAAATGCCTGCAATACGAATGTTGCGCGAGTTTCACGTTTCCCAACACCAGCGAATCAACTCCAAGCAGAATGCTAGAACTTGAAGGCTGCTCCCCTTGTTTGGGCAAGCCAGCCCGAATTCGCCAGCCGAATTCGGAGGATCTTTGTTAGTAGTACTACTTCGCACTGCGCATCCGCACCCAAATCTGTTCAAGTACTAGAACGCTCCCACAGCGCGCTCACTGTGAGTTAGCAGTCAGCATCTCAGTGCCTCACCTGGTCATGCCATTGGAATCTCCCACAATGACGGCCATGGCCTGGTGGCAAGGCTAAGACTTCATCATCCGATTTACAGAACTTTAAGAAAAAATATTGCATTCTGTGCTGTTAAATTGCAAAACCAAGAGGAACCAGAGATGCAGGAGAAATCTTGAGGGCTACCACATATGAATCAAACTGTGGACTCTGGGCCACCATACGAGTGACATTGTCAACATCAGCTGTCCACCGTCCATCTGTGGATGAATGGGCATCGCATTCAACCAAAATTCTAGCCAGCGAACGTTCAGCGTCACGTTTTTGTTCTGCTGCGTTCTACTGCAGAGGCACGACACTTTTCCAAACAGGAGTTCCCCATCCCTGTAGGTTGGAGGCCATCGCTTGTAGGTTGGAGGCCATCGCTTGTGGTTGGAGGCCATCGCTACTAGGGTCGAGGCCAATACTACTAGGGTGGAGGCCAATACTACTAGCAGCAAGACGCTACTAGGGTCAACATGACGCTCAAACGCAAACGGCATTCCAAAGCTTTGGGATCTCACCCAGTTCCCAGTGCCTGGAGTGAGCAGCCTGGCTGCCGCAAAGCGGCCCAGCTGCCACTGAACTACTGGCTGCATCTGAATCAAGCTGCGTTTGGGCCACATGAACTTTTGGCATTCATCGTGTGAAGCTTTGCGCCAACTGAACTCCATCCTTCACTCCTTCACCCGCAACGATAATCCTGGCAACAAATTGTAGCTGAAAGCAACAAAAGTCTGTGTCACTAGTCAACAGGGTACAGGCTTGAGATGTGAACTGTGCAGGACTGTGCATGTTCAACTGAACACCCTGTAATTTGCGTCTTTGAACTTGTCCTCCTGTGCCCAGTGCTTGTCAGCATTTTGGGCGGGGTCACGCATGGCCTGTTCAGCCAAGAGCGGAGACATTGGCAAGCTTCGCCAGCGCCAGCGCTAGGCCAGCGCAAAGGTCTCGTCAGTAGATGTCGTTGCTACTGACTTCTTGCAGGCAGCTGGAATCCGTTGTCCCAGCTGCAACTCGATCTACAAGTTGGGGCCCGGCCCCACATTCAATCAATGCTGGCCAAATAACAATGCTGAAGTGCTGAAGTCAATGAAAGTCTCGTCATGCAGGCTTCAAGCAGCTGTTGGTGGCCGCAACAGCCTAGGATTTATCCAACTGACCATCGCTGAAAATGGATCGGCTGCAAACAGGTTGTACTATAACTAAGTTGTCTAAATGCTGCCAAAGCGCGGTGCTGCTCCACCAATAGAGCCTTGTGGTGGAAAGCTCCGTGGCCCAACTGAGCCCTGTGGTGGAAAGCT